ACAATAAAATAAAATAAACTGGTTTCATTCGCTGTCATTTTTATCAACGAATTCATGATGTTTTAATGCAAAATTATAAATTACATTCATCTGGACTGCTATTCATTCGGGTCATTATCAATATCAGTAAATGAATGATTGTTTGTTATTGCACGGATTAAAAGCATGAAATATCATGCAGAAAAAAAAAAATGAAAAAAAAAATTGTTGCATTTAAGAATGAAAAAAAGAAAGGAAAGAACAAATTATTCTTTATTTCGTCGGAAACTTTATTCCATTATCAATTATGATTTTCAGTTTTTTTAATTTAATTAAAATTGAGTGAAATGTATACGAGAAAATTGGCCCATCCTTTGTAATACAATCCTTCGATCTTTCTTTTTTCCTTTCTTTTTCGTTTTTTTTTTTTTATTTCGCTTCAAATAATATTATTAGCAAATTTAATAATGACTGAATTCTTCTTCAATTATTTATTCGAAGCAAAGAAAGATAAAAGAATTGCATTGTTGAGAGAGGTTGATTTTTTTTTTTTCCTTATCAATTAAATTTGTTAACTTATTTATCTCATTCATACAATAATTTCTTCAACAAAATGTAAATGTTCAAATTGTTTCATTTACATGAAACGAGCAAATTGTGAAATTTTTGGTTAAATGGTTGAAATATTGAAAATAATTGTAAAATTATTTCGCTAAAATATTTCTAACAAAAACTATTAAATATAACATTAGCATTGAGAATTTTTTGAAATTTTTCATCATTTTAAGCAAAATGGTTGTATTAAAAAATTAAGGAATAAAAAAAATTTCTTTCTCTCTCTCAAAAAAAAAAAAAAGAAACAATAATGATACTTTAATTCATAGCATTGTATTTCAGTATTTACTCTTTTCATTTATTTTTCTCTCTCTCTCTCTCTCTCTTTTACCTTTTCATAAAATTAATTTTTTAATACAATTATTTTGATAATCTTTTTGATAAAATAAGAAGTAGTAAAAATTTAAGAAAAAAAAATTCCATTATCAACAATAAAAGTTTAGTTGAATTTTTTGAATCAAACAATAACAAGGAAGACAACGATTAAATGAAAAAATAAATAAATTGTTAAATTTGAACCAATTCATTTTTTAATAATTATCATCAGCATAACATCTCATTAGATCTAATAAAATAAAAGCGAGGAAAATGCGATAGAGAAAATGAAAAAAGAATTTGAAAATATTGGATGATGAAAAATTATCATAGGCCGAAGTAAGGAAATTCTATCAAATGAATCAAATTCAAAGAGGTGAAAGGTTATCATATAGATTAAATTTGAAAAAAGATTATCAAATAAATTAAATTTAAGAAAATTAATAATTATCAAATAGAATGTTAAGAAAATTGTATCAAATAGAACAAAGTGTAAGAAAGTAAAAGATAAGTGAGAAATTGAAAACGGAATGATTGTTAAATAGCATATATTTAATATTCTTATTAATAATAATATAGTTCATTAATTATTTTAATATAATTTAAAGGGAAATTTCCTCTTTTTTCTTTTATTCCCCTCATTTCACGATAGTTTCCTTCAATTGTTTTCATTAATTAATATAATATTTGTACTTCTTTTTTTTTATTAAATTTCAGAACTTTCTCGAAGATATGTTTGAGGAAAAAAGGAAAAGAAAAATAAAATTATCCAGTTTAAATAAAACAAATGATAGTTCTTGATAATTTTTTTTTTTTTTATGAAGGAAAGTTACACTGACAATTTCTCTTTTCCAAATTTTGTTTGAATTATGCGAAATTTTTGGATTTTAAACATTCATACAACTAACCTAACTTCATTCCTTTGTCATTTCAATTTACCAGTTTTCTCTATTGGCCCTTTTTTTCCGAATTTTAATCCTTTCATTTTCTTGTTGTTACTGATCTAATTTTAAACATGAGCCTGATTAATTATTTCTTTAATCGTACTTTTGATGATTTC